AGGATAATTATGGTAATGGTGGCTCATTTTGACTTGGAGCTTCACCAGATGGATGTGAGAACAACTTTTCTCAATGGAGGTCTGGAAGAAGAGGTGTACATGAAACAACCTGAGGGTTTTGTTTCAGAGGGATAGAGTAATATGGTTTGCAAGCTAAATAAGTCTATATATGGACTTAAGCAATCTTCTCGCCAATGGTATCTTAAGTTTAACGATGTGATTTCTTCGTTTGGTTTCATAGAAAATGTCGTTGATCGTTGTATATACCTTAAGATCAGTGGGAGTCGATTCATTTTTCTAGTCCTATATGTAGACGATATTTTGCTCGCTAGTAGTGATTTGGCATTGCTTATTGAGACTAAGCATTTTCTCTCTAGTCATTTTGAAATGAAGGATATGGATGAGACCTCGTATGTCATAGGCATAGAGGTTCACAGAGATAGATCTAGAGGAAAACTTTATCTATTTCAAAGGACCTACATTAAGAAAATGTTGGAGAGGTATGATATGGAAAACTCCAAACCAAGCCCTGCACTTATGTCTAAAGGTGACAGATTAAGTAAGTTTCAATCTCTGAGAAATGAGCTTGATAGGGAATAGATGAGAGCATATCCTTATGCATCATTGGTTGAGACTTTAATGTATGCCCAAATTTGTACCAGACCCGACATTGCATTTGTAGTTGGTGTATTGGGCAGATTCCAGAGTAACCCAGGTTTGGATCACTGGAGAGTTGCAAAGAAGGTGCTTAGATATCTGCAAGGAACACAAGATTATATGCTTACATATAGCAGATCTGATTTTCTAGAGGTTGTCGGATATACAGATTCTGATTTTGCAAGATCCCCAGATAGCAAGCAATCAACATCAGGATATATATTTTTGCTTGCTAATGGTGCAGTCTCTTGGAGAAGTACTAAAAAGAAATTGACAACAGCTTCTACTATGGAAGCTGAGTTAGTTGCATGCTATGAGGCGATTACATAGGCAATTTAGTTGAGGAATTTTACCATTGGACTTAAAGGTTGTTGATTCTATTTCGAGGCCTATAAGGATGTTTTGTGATAATGTAGGGGTCGTTTCCTCAATAAACAATGACAAGGTATCTAATGGTAACAAGCACATGGATATTAAATACCTTGTCATAAAGGAGAAATGTGATAAAAATAAGGTGTCAGTTAAATATATCAGCACTGTGCTTATGATGGCAGACCCTATGACCAAAGCTATAGCTCCAGGATTGTACAAAGATCATGTGGATCATNATAAATGTGATAAAAATAAGGTGTAAGTTAAGTATATCAGCACTGTGCTTATGGTGACAGACCCAATGACCAAAGCTATAGCTCCAGGATTGTACAAAGATCATGTGGATCATATGGGTCTAGTGAACAATGTTATTGCTTGATGTACTAAATGTGCACATTTGGAGACACCATCAATTTATTGTATCACATTATTAAATTATTCTGCTTATTATATTTTTGTGGAACGAATATGTTCTTAGCAGAAAATTTTGACCAACAAATGGATTTTATGGGAAATCCATTCATAAAGAAAATTAGCCTAAAGTCTTGTTTATGAGAGTTTAGTGATATTGTGATCATGGAAGGATGTATGCAATTTATTGGTGTATATTCGCCATGGTTCATATTACTAGGCTCAAGTAATCAAGAATAAAGTTAAACTCACTTATGTTGGGATAATTTGATAAAGATCGTGCATAATTTTACCGAACCCAAGTATTTGCTTATTTTCAAAATATAAGTATTACTATTATTATTTTCTTTCAATTTCTTTGTCAATTCGGTCCAAGTGGGAGAATGTTGGAACCTATTTAATGGGACCCACATGTGGACCTTAATTAACAAGGTACAGACTTGAGTTTTGGGGTAAGGATATCCGAATTAAATTACCTAACACATGTTGATTAGGTTAGTGAGTAGTTTATTTGTGAAAGGGGTAATTTTAGGTACAAGGAAACATGTTTTAAAAAATAGTCAGTTTCCTAAAAGTTACTTTGATAAGAGGGAACGGTTCCTGATTATTTTAACGTGAGACAGTTGGTTACCAGTGAGGGGGATATAAATTACTTGAGAGACTCCATCTTTTATTCACCCTTATAATATCTCTCACTCTTTGAAAAAATCTATCTGCAATCTATTTGGGAATCAAGTTCGTAATTATATTCGGTATTCTTGCTATTCTTCTCGTGGAGATTTTCGCATCAAAAATCATTGTTATGGATCCTATGAGTCAAGGGTAGTTTCTAATCGATCTAAGACCATTAGGTCTATCAATAATTACCTACAATATACTATTTGGGAAAATAATAGAAAACCCGAAATGGGTAATTGTTATCTTTGATAAAGGGATGCCCCAGACTCTATTCCAAAATATCCATTCTGACTCACTTGACCACAGAACATTACGAGACAGAGAGAGATAGAGAGATAGAGAGACAGAAAGACCTCAGGTCCACCGAGTTCATGAATCCTAATAGCTTTGACCATTGTAGCTGCTGCTGCTGATGATGCAGAGAGTGCTCTCACTGCTAGTTTGGTTGTCACCCTTGATTGTGTTGGGACAATTATGCTCTTCTTGTCTGTATGACTATTGTAGTTGTTAATCTATGTTTGTAATGGAAGAACTAGTGAGCTTGGGTGGTAAAGGTTTGAGACAAACGATCTTAGCAGAAGACGGTAGTGACGATGGTGATGATGCAATGTTGATCCCGATAGTAGGACCATTTGACAATTGAACCCCTTTTTGCCCTTCTTCCCTTGCTAATTGAATTGGGATGGAAGTCGAGCAATGTGAGGAATCGCGAGGAGGAATTAAGGGAAAATGACACCCAAATTAACTGAGAGACACTTTAATATTTAAAATATTATACATAGATTTCTTAAAATCGTCAATATTCGTTAAGTGTAAAACATTTAGATTTTTTAAATTTAAAATATTATATTTAGATTCTTTATTAATAATAAAATTAACAAAATTTATTAAATATAGTTTATATCTTTAAGTCACTTATTATTAACTTAAGCATCGAAGAATTGATCCCCTAAAGCTCCCCTCTAATCTTCAACTTTTCTTTTAGATGATCGAAGCTCAACGAATTAATGTTGATGCCGTCTAAATTTTAGCATCAACAATACTAATTATGATATTTTTAAATAAAAAATTAATTTTTGATTTTTAATTTTATTTTAATAAATGACATAATAGAACATGAATTTTAGTTGTAAAATTTAAAATATTTGATATTCTATCTGTAATTAGAGTTTTTTTAATTTAAGTGTAATATTTTAAACTTGAGAAATCTGATATTACACGCTTCAAATTTTAAGAGTTTAGATATAATTTATTAATGGATATACTAACAGACATTAATGATTGCGGCATTTGTGTATGCACTTACAAATATCAGGATTTTGTGTGTAATATTTTAAATATTAGTGAGTCTATATGATTAACTGATAAACTTTAGAAGTTTTAAATGTAATTTTTCCTAAATTATTGGGTGTGTTTGAATGGCGGGTTAAAAAGGCACAACATCAGTAAGATAGGACAAAAAAATACATAGGCTCATTTATCCTGTGTTTGGATTTATCCTAATTCGATTTAAAAAATCAATTTTAACCTATCTATGTGAGTTAAATGAAACCCAAAGAACACTGAGATATTTTTTACACCGACCGAAGCAGTGATTAAAATGACATATTTGCCCAAAGCCATAAGTCATCGGGCTTACTCTTACCCTCGAACAATGTCTCTTTCAATCCATGTATAGCTGGGTATTTACATTTATATTACTCTCCCATGTTCTCAAATTTGTGTTGAAATTTCTTTCTTTCTGTTTCACTTGTAACTTTCAGGATTAAAAGAGAATTTTTCTTAAAAATATATTATTTGATGGTTTTTCTTCTATCTAGATAAATTATGCACACGAGACTTATAATATTTATAAGAAAATTTTCAAAAAATTTCTTGTTGTTCAACGAGACAGTTCATTGTGCTCATCTAATTTAAAACCCAAAAAGCCTTGAACAGGGATACGAAGAAAGATATTGAGGGAATTTATTGGGGCTTTGTTTGGATTTCTTGTGAATTGGAAAACCCATAAACGAATTGGCCTTCTAGTTATGTGTTTCACCATGGACAACCCATACATATTTAAAAAAAAATTGTTTGGAATTGGTTAGAGGTTAATTTATAAACCAGACGTGATACGGGATTGGATAAACTAAGGACATAATAGTCAATGGAACTATATTACGAATACATGATGATTTATCTATTCTTAAGTGCTTTAGCATCTAATCCAATTTCAAGAATTGCTCCCCATCATACTGGGTAGGGTATAGCTTGGACATATCAATTCAAATCTAAGCTTAACTCAAAATATTCAATGGTCAGGGTAAAAAAATTGTATTATTGTTGAACTTAGGTAAAAAAATCCCAACTCTATGTTTATCCAATCACTAAAGATTAAGGTCCTCAATTCTAAGAACCCAACCTCAACATGGTGAATTCAAATTGTTTATGAATTCTAATCTAAGTCATGTAAACCAACGATAAAATTTGAATTCAACTACATAAAATCCAGAAGTAAACTTACATTTCATGTTATGTAATTATAGATTCAAATCCTTATTGAATCATATTTTCAATGTCTTCACTTGCCATGAACATATTTTCATTCAAGGAAAGAGACAGAAACTCTATGAATTTACTAGAGATGTACAGATCTGGAGAAAATCATGCATCCAGTGAAGAAACAAACCCACATCCATGACAAGCCAATTAAAAGAAAAAAAATGTAACAATCGACAAGATTTTTATTTCTTTTGCACAACGGCTTTCACACACTAGGGTGGTACATTTCACACACTGGGTACAGAACAAATTCAGCATGCACTCATTAGAATGTTTGTGCTATCCAACTGTCCCAACTCCTACGACAGAGGAAACAAGACTAGTTGGGGATTATGAACTTACTGGTCAACACCATCTGGTATCAGGACAACAGATCCCGATGTTTTCCGATCCTCAAGATCAGCATGTGCCTGTGCAGCTTGAGATAAGGGGTAGGTACGATTTACACGGATCCGTAAGACCGCTGATGTGATGCAAGCAAATAGCTCTCCAGCAGTTTCAAGCAGCTCTTCCCGTGTTAGATTGTAGTGCATGAGGTGGGGCCTTGACAAGAACAGCGATTTTGCTGCAAGTGCCGACAATGGCAGTGTGTCTGGTGTACCGGAGGACTGCCCCAAACTTACCATGTATCCGCGGATTTTTAAGCATGCCAAAGAACCCTGAGCATGACAGCATCCCAATTAGAAACTATATTAAATGCAACTGGGGGCACCATGAACCAAATTAGACTGACCAATCTCATCCTTGCGGATAAATAAAAACTGCGGATGTAAGGTCTATGGGTGCCTATGCTAATTTGTGCATATTGGTTTCAGTCGGTCCTTAAAGTTGATGTCCAACTGGGATAATGCTAGACCTTTTTGTAAACATGGCTCAAATTAACTTCCAGAACCTCAAATATATAAAACGTGACAGAAAAAACAAACTTACATAGTGACGATATCATCATACTATAACTCATCCTCACATTTAGTTACTACCTTTGTATTTTCTGCATGACTGGAATTTTAATGGTTAAATATATACATACATATATATATATGATCATAAGAATAGAGGTGCATCACCTGAAAGGTGTCTTTTCCAATGGAATCATAGACAACATCAACTCCCTTGCCTGATGTTATCTCATTGACACGGGTAACAAAATCCTCTTCCTTGTACATTATGACATGATGACATCCATCATCTTTGGCTTGAGCTNAATGGAATCATAGACAACATCAACTCCCTTGCCTGATGTTATCTCATTGACACGGGTAACAAAATCCTCTTCCTTGTACATTANAACACTGGCTTAGTCTCACCATGAATCTGACCTGTATACAGATCTGGTCAAAACCATGCATATAGTGAAGAAGCATAACCACATCCATGAGACGCAAATCAAAAGGAAAAAACGTACACAATCTAAAAGATTTTATTTCTTTTGCACAACAGCTTTCAGGTCAGACCTTGTATGAAATTACATCAACACTAGGGTGGTACATTTCTCACTTTGGGGACAGACCAAATTGAGCATGCACTTATTGGAATGTTTGTGCTATCCGACTGTCCCAACTCCTACAACAGAGGAAACAAGACTAGTTGGGACAATGAACTTTACTGTTCAACACCATCTGGTATCAGGACAACAGATCCCAATGTTTTCCGACCCTCAAGATCAGCATAAGGGGTAGGTGCCATTTACACGGACTCGTAAGACCCCTGATGTGACACCAGCAAATAGCTCTCCAGCAGTTTCAAGCAGCTCCTCCCGTGTTAGACTGTAGTGCATGAGGGCGGGCCTTGTCAAGAAGAGCGATTTCGCATCAAGTGCTGATGGTAGTGATTCTGGCATACCGGAGGAATGCCCAAAACTTACCATGTATCCGCGGGTTTTTAAGCATGCCAAAGAACCCTGAACATGGCAGCATCCCAATTAGAAACTAGTAGAGAAAATATAAAAATGCAACAGGGTCCGCATGAACCAAATTAGACTAACCAATCTCATCCTTGTGGACTAAGACAGACTGCAGATGTAAAACATATGTGACTATGCTAGTTTGTGCATATTGGGTTCGTTTGGTCCTTAAAGTTGATGTCCATTGGGAAAATCCAAGACCCTTTTGTAAACTAGGCTCAAATTAACTTCCCAAAACCTGAAACATATATATCAAGTGACAGAAGGAACAAACTTACATATTGACGATATCATCATAATATACTCATGCTAACATTTAGTTACTACCTCTGTCTTTTCTGCATGACTGGGATTTTAATGGGTGTATATATATGATCATAAGAATAGATTTGCAGCACCTGGACTGTGTCTTTTCCAACTGAATCATAGACAACATCAACTCTTTTGCCTGATGTTATCTCATTGACACGGGTAACAAAATCTTCTTCCTTGTACATTATGACAAGATGACATCCATCATCTTTGGCTTGATCTGCCTTTTCTTTGGTTGAGACGGTTCCAATTACAGTGGCACCAAGGGCAATTGCCCACTGGCACAACAGAGACCCAACTACACCTGCTGCTGCATGAACAAGAATTGTGTGTCCAGGTTCAACCTGACATACTATTCAACTCAGTCATATATTTAAATTTAAAGAAAAACAAAATCCTTGATCCCCTGACCTACGGCTTGAGATCNCTAAATCTCGGATCAATTCATGTTCAAACGCAACAGTACAAATGGATGAGGTTTCTGCCACTAGGATGATCAAAATTTTATCTTGTTCTATTGTACAACCATAGTTATATGATAATTCCTATAACAGATGGGGATAGAGACATACATAACCACATTATTCTCAGATCAGTCTTCAATGGCTGATTGAACTTCAGCAAAAGAGTTTTACGTGAATCAGCATCTCTCTCTGTTTTCGCAAGGAGGGTTGTTTCATACATAGATACAGTTCTGATGGATAATCAAATNAATGGCTGATTGAACTCCAGCAAAAGAGTTTTACGTGAACCAGCATCTCTCTCTGTTTTCGCAAGGAGGGTTGTTTCATACATAGATACAGTTCTGATGGATAATCAAATAATTTGATGCTTTGTCAGGGGTTTCTAGCTTAAGGAAAGTCTTTTCTGGAATTCACATTTCCTCCAATTGAAAAAGGGGGATTACAAGTGGACCAAATAGGGCACCATTAGAAGTCCTTACTTTTAGCGGCTCATTATGCCTGTAGTTTTTGATACCATGCTCAATAATCTGAACAGTTGGAACAATGCACCTTCTACCTTTCCCCTTCCTCCATCCCAGAAAAAAAAAAAAAAACAAATCCTTGAACCCCCGACCTACGGCCTTAGATTTCACGCCCAAATGACCAAGGCAGGACAACCAGTCAAACAGTTAATATAAGAAATTGATCGATGAAGGCTAATAATAATCATTATGACAATTATACAAATAGCACATGCACAATGGCAGAAGCTATNAAAAAAAAACAAATCCTTGAACCCCCGACCTACGGCCTTAGATTTCACGCCCAAATGACCGAGGCAGGACAACCAGTCAAACAGTTAATATAAGAAATTGATCGATGAAGGCTAATAATAATCATTATGGCAATTATACAAATAGCACATGCACAATGGCAGAAGCTATGAAGCATCGAGAAGGTGATGTATCCATGTCGGATACATGTCAGACATCAACACTCTTCGGACATTCTCTGACACGATACTCTTTTATCTATATCCGTAATTAAATAATTTTTTTTTAATTTTGGACAAGTGTCCAACACTTCTTTGGTGACATGTCCTACACTTTTTNGGACATTCTCTGACACGATACTCTTTTATCTATATCCGTAATTAAATAATTTTTTTTTAATTTTGGACAAGTGTCCAACACTTCTTTGGTGACGTGTCCAACACTTTTCNTGAAGCATCGAGAAGGTGATGTATCCATGTCGGATACATGTCAGACATCAACACTCTTCGGACATTCTCTGACACGATACTCTTTTATCTATATCCGTAATTAAATAATTTTTTTTTAATTTTGGACAAGTGTCCAACACTTCTTTGGTGACATGTCCTACACTTTTTTAGAAATTGTCTACTACTAAACAATAAATATGTGTTGAAATACGATTAACAAAGTTTAGAATTTTGAAAACATATAATTAATAATACTAGACATGTTAAAATTGTACTCCAAATATAATAATAAAAATAAAAGATGCATAAAAGTTTTAAAAAAAGAGAAATTGATAAAATGAGAGAAATTATTTAATTATATATTAGATACACATTGTCTACAAAAAGAATTGATGATTATTAACTATTATGATGATACTTTAGTCTAAAAACTACGCATAAGATTTATTTATCATAAAATACATAATCTTTTATGAATTGCATATTATTATCACTATATTTGAGATAAATTATATAATATTATATATAATTTATAATTTTTTGTAACGTATCCTCAACGCGTCGGTGTTTTACTTTTTTGAGAAATGTCATGTTTGCGTGTCCTTGTCATGTCGTGTCATATTTATGTCCCATGTCCGTGTCCATGCTTCTTAGGGTCGAAGTAATGTGTACGCTAGTCTTGTACAAGCAATAAGGTCATGCTTTGGATGATGATACTGCAAAAATGCTGCAAATAAAATGTTTCTAAACACTTGATGTAACGTTGCTCAATTCGTGTATATTACCTGACATAAATCAAAATGGCACAACCGTCTTGACAAAAGTACTACTAGTTCAGTTATTATCCAAATTCCATGCATATTTCATGACTTTCTAACACTGAAATTTTTGAATGGTACTATGTAATAAAACCAAAAAGATGGCCTTATTTAAATCCATTTTACAATGTATTCTAAGTTCAAATGATTTTTATACTCAAAACCGCACTCTCCACCATCATTTTTGTCTTTCAAGGGCTGAAAACTAAAACAACCAAAAATTCTAGTAGAATCCAGAAGGTGTTCAGTAAACACGCAACATACCTTGAAACACCGACGAACTAGATATTGAGTAGTCATTCCTTTGAAAATGACAGCTGCAACTACAACAGGATCCAAAGTGGAAGGAACAGGCACCACTTTTTCTGCCGGAAGGATCTGCTCTTCAGCATATGAACCCATTGGGTTACCAGCATAAGCGACTAGATCTCCAAATTTCATGCCCGTTAGTCCAGGACCCAGGGAAGTCACCACACCAACTGCTTCCATACCTGAACTTAACATGTTTTGCAAGCTTAGTTCTCAACAAAACCCCAATTCTGGATTCACATGACATTTTCATTTATAGCCCCTAATAAGAGACTCATTTAAGTCTGACAAAAATATGCAAGGCAGCCTGACAAAAACATACTTCCCCTGAAGCACAATAGTGATCCTCCCAAAATAAAAAATTTCCACAAAACAAAGCAAAACGATAATAATTGTTAATCGCATTTTGGCAGGAAATGAGACTAAAGGACATGAGGCTATATAGTTGACGGAGAGGCAATGTATCATATAGCAAAAATGGAACAGGACAAACTTTCTTATCCAACCTATCTATCTTTTCTTGTTTTTCATCAATGGAAAAGCACTTTGACAAGAGGATGAATATAAACAAATTGGATCAAGCAGGAACACTTGCTTTGTCTTCCTAATCAAGAAACTCTATACCAAAAAAGTGCACACCCAACGTGAACAGAAGGTTTGAGATGATTCAATATTTGAAGTTTTGTTTATTTCTTGGCTCAGTTGCGGCCATTAAAAACTCAACAGATTTTTGGTTTCTTGGGTCAGTTGTGGCCATTGAAAATTGAAAAGATTTTTGGTTACTTAGGTCAGTTGAGGCTGTCTGATTTTGGAAAGTATTCAAGGGCCGAAGTCCAAACATGATAAACCTGCTTTCTTGGACGGATTCCATCTCTAAGGATGCAAGTGAAGAATCATCCGCAAGAAGCATTTCTACACAGTATAATTATTAGAAGAAATCCCTGAAAATAGAATCTTTCGCCTTTTTCTCTTTTTCTATCTTAAAAAAAAATGTTGCATTACCAATCACAAAATATTTTTGGCTGAAGTTGAACCCATCTTTCATTGGAAGAAATTTTCAGCAGAGTAATAGAAGAAACAGAAAGAACCTGGTGTAAAAGGTATTGTGGCAGCCTTGTAAACTCCTTTGCGAAAGTGTACATCGATGAAGTTAAGCCCAATGGCCTTATTCTTCACTCTGATCTCTCCTTCCTTTGGCTCTCCTATTTCCACTTCCTCCCATTTCAGAACCTGAATCAATTTTTAGTAAGTAAAAATGTCGCCCAACCCCCACCCCCCTAGGAAGGGTGCGTGGGTGGGCGTGGGAAAACTCCCTGCCACAACACCTAAACAAATTGCGTTGTACTTACTACAAAACTGAATTTGTTATGTTACCAATAAAAAAAAAAAAAATTTAAGTGACCAGAAATGAAATGGAATTTTCCCGTACAAGGGTCTAAAATCATGCAAAGGTACCATTCAACCAGGATTATCCGATGATAAAATCGTGTATAGTATCTCAAACAAACAGGATAATGCTCTGGTGATGATAAACAGGATTGCAATCGTTTATCCCTAGGTAGAAGTAGCAGACACAAAGCCCAATCGAGAATCACCCAAAATCCAAAATTCCATATACAGGAACATGGGAATCACATAATCGAGAATCAACAATAAGTTCACGTAGAATCTCACATTCCAATAGCTAATCATGGACATCACTACATACATGAAAACCCGATTGAAGCATAGCCTAAAGAACACACTATTGGATTCCAAAACAACTTTTTGGGCTTTAAAAATTATTAAGCAGAAGACGTTATAGTTGAAATTGGGCAAATAATTACTTACAATATTCTACTTGGTAAAAGAATAGAAAACCCGAAATGGGCAATTGATATCTTTGATAAAGGGGTGCCCCAAACTCCATTCTAAAATATTGATTCTTACCAATGAAGTATGGATACTTCAAAAGGGTCAAAATATCCGTATTGAATATTTTTAGATACGGATACGCGTCGGATACGTCTGAGAAGTATCCTAAAATTAAAAAAAAAAAATTGATTTTCGGAAACAGCCGAATACATTTTGGATACACGTGAGATACGCCTAGAATACGCATAAGGATACGACGGGGTATTACTCAAATTTTTAAAAAATATAGGGACACAAGAGTAATATATTTAGGTCCTTATTTGTAAAAAAAAATATATTATTAAACTAAAAGACTAAAACCTATACACTTTTCTTCCACAGCCCGTCAAGCCCCCCACTCTCTTCAGTCGATACTCGACGACGATCGTCTCTCTCTGTCTCTCGCTCTCACTCACTCACACTGACGATTGACTGACTTTGATGGTTAGTTATTATTATATGTCTTTGATAGAAGTGTGATTTATTTTATAAATCATAATTATTACATTAAATATAATAATAAAATTTTAAAAAATATATATTTTATGGACGTATTCTAACCGTACCTGTATCCTTTTTTTTTTATTTTGTCGTGTCCCTGTATCCGTATCGTATCGTATCCGTATCTCATATCGATATCCGTGCTTCATAGATTCTTACTCACTTGACCACATAACATTACGCAAGAGAGAGAGAGAGACCTCAGGTCCACCAAGTTCATGAACCCTAATAGCTTTGACCATTGTAGCTGCTACTGGTAGAAAGTGCTCCCACTGCTAGTTTGGTTGTCACTCTTGATAGTGTTGGGACAATTATGCTCTTCTTGTATGTGTAACTATCGTTGTTGTTCATTGGTGTTTGTAATGGAAGAAATGGTGAGCTTGGGTGGTAAGGGCCCAAGACAAACGAACTTTTGTAGAAGACGGTAGTGATGATGTAATGTTGATCCCGATAGGAGGACCATTAGACAATTCAACTTGAATCCTTTTTGTCCATTTTCCCTTGCTAATTGATTTGGGACGGAAATCGAGCAATGTGAGGATTCGTAAGGAGTAAATTATAAAGAATAAATTATACACAGCTCTCAAATTATGTGTCAATTAAGCCATTTAATCATTTTTAGTAGCAATTGAACCTTTAAAATTTTAATTTGTATCCGTTAAAATATCTTACCCACGTGATTATATTGCCGTCCACAAACACATTGATTTTCTTTTAAAAAAAACTGACTTCTCTCTAGCGATTTACTACAATGACCAACACTGGCTTAGTCTCACCATGAATCTGACCTGTATACAGATCTGGTCAAAACCANCTTTGGCTCTCCTATTTCCACTTCCTCCCATTTCAGAACCTGAATCAATTTTTAGTAAGTAAAAATGTCGCCCAACCCCCACCCCCCTAGGAAGGGTGCGTGGGTGGGCGTGGGAAAACTCCCTGCCACAACACCTAAACAAATTGCGTTGTACTTACTACAAAACTGAATTTGTTACGTTACCAATAAAAAAAAAAAAAAANCCCTGCCACAACACCTAAACAAATTGCGTTGTACTTACTACAAAACTGAATTTGTTACGTTACCAATAAAAAAAAAAAAAAAAAATTTAAGTGACCAGAAATGAAATGGAATTTTCTCGTACAAGGGTCTAAAATCATGCAAAGGTACCATTCAACCAGGATTATCCGATGATAAAATCGTGTATAGTATTTCAAACGATGATAAAATCGTGTATAGTATCTCAAACAAACAGGATAATGCTCTGATGATGATAAACAGGATTGCAATCGTTTATCCCTAAGTAGAAATAGCAGACACAAAGCCCAATCGAGAATCACCCAAAATCCAAAATTTCATATACAGGAACATGAGAATCACATAATCGAGAATCAACAATAAGTTCACGTAGAATCTCACATTCCAATAGCTAATCATAGACATCACTACATACATGAAAACCCGATTGAAGCATAGCCTAAAGAACACATTATTGGATTCCAAAACAACTTTTTGGGCTTTAAAAATTAATACTCAGAAGACGTTATAATTGAAACTGGACAAATAATTACTTACAATATTCTACTTGGTAAAAGAATAGAAAACCCGAAATGGGTAATTGATATCTTTGATAAAGGGGTGCCCCAAACTCCATTCTAAAATATTGATTCTTACCTATGAAGCATGAATACTTCAAAAGAGTCAAAATATCTGTATCAGATATTTTTGGATACGGATACACGTCGGATACGTCCGAGAAGTATCCTAAAATTTAAAAAAAAAAATTAGTTTTCGGATACGGCCGAATACATTTTGGATACACGTGAGATACGCCTAGGATACGCATAAGGATACGACGGGGTATTACTCAAATTTTTAAAAAATATAGGGACACAAGAACAATATATTTAGGCCCTTATTTGCAAAAAAAAAAATATTATTAAACTAAAAGACTAAAACCTGTATACTTTTCTTCCACAGTCCGTCAAGCCCCCCACTCTCTTCAGTCGATACTCGAAGACGATCGTCTCTCTCTCTCTCACTCTCGCTCATTCACACTGACGATCGACTAACTTTGATGGTTAGTTATTATTATATATCTTTGATAGAAGTGTGATTTATTTTATAAATCGTAATTATTACATTAAATATAATAATAAAATTTTAAAAAATATATATTTTATGAACGTATCCTAACTGTACCCGTATCCTATTTTTTTTTGATTTTGTCGTATCCCCGTACCCGTATATATCGTATCCGTATCCGTGCTTCGTAGATTTTTACTCACTTGACCGCAAAACATTACGCGAGAGAGAGAGAGAGAGAGAGAGAGAGAGAGACCTCAGGTCCACCAAGTTCATGAACCCTAATAGCTTTGACCATTGTAGCTGCTGCTGGTAGAAAGTGCTCCCACTGCTAGTTTGGTTGTCACTCTTGATAGTGTTGGGACAATTATGCTCTTCTTGTATGTGTAACTATCGTTGTTGTTCATTGGTGTTTGTAATGGAAGAAATGGTGAGCTTGGGTGGTAAGGGCCCAAGACAAACGAACTTTTGTAGAAGACGGTAGTGATGATGTAATGTTGATCCCGATAGGAGGACCATTAGACAATTCAACTTGAATCCTTTTTGTCCTTTTTCCCTTGATAATTGATTTGGAACAGAAATCGAGCAATGTGAGGATCCGTAAGGAGTAAATTATAAAGAATAAATTATACACAGCTCTCAAATTATGTGTCAATTAAGCCATTTATTCATTTTTAGTAGCAATTGAACCTTTAAAATTTTAATTTGTATCCGTTAAAATATCTCACCCACGTGATTATGTTGCCGTCCACAACACATGGATTTTCTTTCAAAAAAACTGACTTCTCTCTAGCGATTTACTACAATGACCTACACTGGCTTAGTCTCACCATGAATCTGACCTGTATACAGATCTGGTCAAAACCATGCATATAGTGAAGAAGCATAACCACATCCATGAGACGCAAATCAAAAGGAAAAAACGTACACAATCTAAAAGATTTTATTTCTTTTGCACAACAGCTTTCAGGTCAGACCTTGTATGAAATTACATCAACACTAGGGTGGTACATTTCTCACTTTGGGGACAGACCAAATTGAGCATGCACTTATTGGAATGTTTGTGCTATCCGACTGTCCCAACTCCTACAACAGAGGAAACAAGACTAGTTGGGACTATGAACTTTATTGTTCAACACCATCTGGTATCAGGACAACAGATCCCAATGTTTTCCGACCCTCAAGATCAGCATAAGGGGTAGGTGCCATTTACACGGACTCGTAAGACCCCTGATGTGACACCAGCAAATAGCTCTCCAGCAGTTTCAAGCAGCTCCTCCCGTGTTAGACTGTAGTGCATGAGGGCGGGCCTTGTCAAGAACAGCGATTTCGCATCAAGTGCTGATGGTAGTGATTCTGGCATACCGGAGGAATGCCCAAAACTTACCATGTATCCGCGGGTTTTTAAGCATGCCAAAGAACCCTGAACATGGCAGCATCCCAATTAGAAACTAGTAGAGAAAATATAAAAATGCAACAGGGTCCGCATGAACCAAATTAGACTAACCAATCTCATCCTTGTGGACTAAGACAGACTGCAGATGTAAAACATATGTGACTATGCTAGTTTGTGCATATTGGGTTCGTTTGGTCCTTAAAGTTGATGTCCATTGGGAAAATCCAAGACCCTTTTGTAAACTAGGCTCAAATTAACTTCCCAAAACCTGAAACATATATATCAAGTGACAGAAGGAACAAACTTACATATTGACGATATCATCATAATATACTCATGCTAACATTTAGTTACTACCTCTGTCTTTTCTGCATGACTGGGATTTTAATGGGTGTATATATATGATCATAAGAATAGATTTGCAGCACCTGGACTGTGTCTTTTCCAACTGAATCATAGACAACATCAACTCTTTTGCCTGATGTTATCTCATTGACACGGGTAACAAAATCTTCTTCCTTGTACATTATGACAAGATGACATCCATCATCTTTGGCTTGATCTGCCTTTTCTTTGGTTGAGACGGTTCCAATTACAGTGGCACCAAGGGCAATTGCCCACTGGCACAACAGAGACCCAACTACACCTGCTGCTGCATGAACAAGAATTGTGTGTCCAGGTTCAACCTGACATACTATTCAACTCAGTCATATATTTAAATTTAAAGAAAAACAAAATCCTTGATCCCCTGACCTACGGCTTGAGATCTCAGGCCCAAAGGACCAAGGTAGGACAGCCAGTTGAAGAGTTAAATTAAGAAATTGATTGAGGGAGGCTAATAATGACCATGATGGCGATCATACAAATAGCATATGAATAATGGCATAAGTATTGTGTACAATGTACAAGCAATAAGGTCATGCTTTGGACGATGATACTGCAAAAATGCTGCAAATAAAACACTAGATGTGATGTTGCTGCAATTCGTGTATGAATACCTTAGTATTAACTGACATAAATCAAAATGGCACAAACAATCTTCTTCACAAAAGTACTACTAGTTCAATCATTATCCAAACTCCGTGCGTATCTCATGACTTTCTAACACCGAAACTTCTGAATTGTAAAATGCAATAAAACCAAAAAACCAAAAAAGATAGCCTTACTTAAATCCATTTTACACAGTATTCAAATTCAAATGATTTTTATACTCAAAACCAGAGTCTCCACCATCATTTTGTCTTTCAAGGGCTGAAAACTATGACAACCAAAAATTCTACTAGAATCCAGAAGATGTTCAGTAAACATGCAACATACTTTGAAACAACGGCCTAGGAATTGATGCAGCTACAACAGGATCCATAGTGGATGGAACAGGCACCACTTTTTCTGCTGGAAGGATCTGCTCTTCAGCATACGAACCCATTGGGTCACCACCATAAGCGACGAGATCTCCAACTTTCCTGCCCGTTAGTCCAGGACCCAGGGAAGGCATCACACCAACTGCTTCCATACCTGAACTTCACATTTTTTGCAATCTTAGCTCTTAACCAATCCCCAATTCTGGATCCACACGANCTTCATCAAAATCAGTGCGCACACTACCTGTACCTAATGATCACCTACTGACTACACTGACAGCAATCATGAATTTTTGAGNCTTTGAAACAACGGCCTAGGAATTGATGCAGCTACAACAGGATCCATAGTGGATGGAACAGGCACCACTTTTTCTGCTGGAAGGATCTGCTCTTCAGCATACGAACCCATTGGGTCACCACCATAAGCGACGAGATCTCNATGGTATGCAACAAAAAACCTTTGCTACAATACATACCCAGTGTTTTTTTCTTCCTCTCTCTTTCAAAGACTGACTTGATCGTCGGAGGGGATACGCCGGAAAACACTCCGGCGCCCTTCTAACTTGTTCTTCTTTGTTCCAGGAACCTTTCTTCAACTTTACTGGATCGTTCTTTTGATCCACGAGGGTCTCCCATTACCGTTCCAGGTTACCACAAGATCTCACAGGCTGTTCCAAGCAGCGTGGTTGACCACTCCACTGATTCACTTGAGTTCACTAAGGGAGAGATCTGTTCTCGTTTTTATATTGTGCAAAATTTAGCACGCACAATCTGGCACCGTCTGTGGGAAACGACTAGTTTTCCTAGTTTTTTCTCTATAAAGAACAGTGACCATGGTGAACACTCGACAAAAAGGGAAAGGTCCCCACCAAAGAAGTCTCGAATTACAAGCTCCCTGTCACCACGGAGGTAGGGATCACACTAATGGGAATAAAAATGCCTCTACTCAGTCAAGAGGGGTTACCCCTCAAACCAGTATGGGAATCAGGTCAGGAGGATCAGCCCCCTGGCTCGTCAGCTAGCGAGGTGATCGAGGAAAAGTTTGGCGATAGATTACGAAAGCTGAAAAAGGATAATGTGAACGTCCTAAGCCGGCTCAACGAATTTGCTGCCTCCGACGAAGGGTCGAGGGACTCATTCCTCTCTCGTGGGCTCCCCACCCGGGAGGCGAAAACGAAGGATCTAAGGAATCATCTAAACAACAAGGCGGAGAGCTCCCGGGCTCCAAAGCGACCGAGAGCCAACGAGCACCTTCCTAACGACTATTCAAGGAAGGCAAGACCATTAGCCCTGNTCTCGTGGGCTCCCCACCCGGGAGGCGAAAACGAAGGATCTAAGGAATCATCTAAACAACAAGGCAGAAAGCTCCAAGGCCCTAAAGCGACCGAGAACAAATGAACACCCTCCTAACGACCATTCAAGGAAGGCAAGGCCGTTAGCCCTGGACGACCTCCGGCGAGGATTGTCTAGACGGAGGAAGGGAGATGAGTCCGAGGAGGATTCTACCCTATCCACACGGCGCCCAAGAAANGCAAGGCCGTTAGCCCTGGACGACCTCCGGCGAGGATTGTCTAGACGGAGGAAGGGAGATGAGTCCGAGGAGGATTCTACCCTATCCACACAGTGCCAAAAAAATGGGGGGCCTATTGATGAACTCAAAGACTTCAGAAGACATCCCGTCAGGGAGGAAATTGATCTCAGAGCCCGGTTGGAATCTAGGAGAAAGAGTAAGGCTGTCTAGGATGAGGCCGAAGACGAGGTCATGCAAACACCCTTTACCAGGGAGATCGGAGAGATGGAGGTTTCAAGAAAGTTTGTC